TTTTTACGCCGGATGCCCTTCCTGACGCAACCACAGACCACCGAGCTACCACAGCCCTCTGTGTGGAGCAGAGAGCTGCTAACGAGGACACCCAGAGGAGCAGATGGTGGGGGTTAAGGGTTCCTTGCTCAATGGCCTAGAGTGGGACGAATGAGGGTGGGGGCAGGTGTGGGTGCTTCACCTACCCCACCCACATTTTTGATGTTATCGGTACCGGGGCTTGAACCAGCGATCTTCCGATCACAGGCCCACCTTCTCTAACCTCTACGCCACCACTCCCCCTTCCGAACTACTGTAATATAATACGGTGTATTAAACAGCAACTTGGACATGAGTCTGTTGTGAGCAGCTTATGGGTAAGAAGTCAGCAGCATGGATAAAGTGACAAGTCTCCAATTAAAGTGACATTACAGTGATTTTCCTTGTTAGGGATTTATGAATTTTTGAATTTATGAATCTTACAGCTTAAGGGTAGATGTGTAAAAGTTGCAACATTTTTTTTAACCGCCACAAATCTCAATTTTCCATTGAAGTTCAAAGCAAATATTATATTTATTAATGAAATCTTCCATTCTGAAAAGGAAATCTGAATAAATAAAATAATTTGAGCACACAGACACATACAAGCTAAATAACAAGCTTCAATGTTCTCATTGTTTTCAAAGGTCCTCCAACCAGGTTACTGTATATGCTAAGTGTGAATGTTGTATTAATACTAAAAAAAAAACCTGCTTTTTTTGTGAAAATGTCTTTTTTTTGTCAATGAAATTATGAATATATGTTAAAATGAGTTAAAATAGTTATTTGCGAAATTATTCGACAATACATACTCAGTATTTGACAACTGCCATTTTGTTTGTGCTGTTCTGACGTGCTGAAACCAATAATCTAATGTTTCTTTGTGTTTTTCTTACTGCAGCTGGAAGAGTGACCACCAATGAAGAACTGGAAGACATGCTGGAAAGTGGAAATCCATCAATCTTCGCATCTGATGTACGTTTCTTCATGGATTTCTGAATGGTCTTGTTCAGGAAGAAGTCAGTCATTTGGAACAGGGCTGTAATAATGTCCTTTTGTTTTTGTTTGTTGTTTTTTTTTGCAAAAAAAAAAAGTCTGGTGTTTTCAAACAAATTTATGTCGTCTACGTTTCTATTTCAGATCATTTCAGACTCACAAATCACACGCCAGGCCTTAAATGAGATAGAGTCCCGTCACCAGGACATTATACGTTTGGAGTCCAGCATCAGAGAGCTTCACGCAATGTTCATGGACATGGCGATGCTGGTAGAAACTCAGGTAACCATTGCAAAAACTTTCTCGAGTTATTTGTGTCACATAGTGTTAACAATCAGTCTGTGCCACTAGAAAGCCAAGTGCACATGTTGCCACAAAAGAAGTGAAATGCTGTTGTCTACAGGGTGATATGGTGAACAACATTGAGAAAAACGTTTCTAATGCAGTGGAGTACATTGGTCGCGCCAAAGAAGAGACTAAAAAGGCCGTGAGATACCAGAAGAAATCACGCAGGGTATGTGGTACCATTCAGATGTGCTGCTGGTACATCTCAACATACAGTACACAAAAAATACCAGATGTAAGGTTTGATGATGAAACTTCGTATCATTTCTAAATATAGCTTTAATTGCTGCTTTTATCGCAGAAGTACATTATCCTTGCATCAGCGCTGTTCATCCTGCTTGCTGTCATCGCACTAATTGTTGGCCTGTCTGTCGGACTAACCAAACGTCCCGTGTGAGACTTACTGTGCCTTCCACATCAGGTAACTTCCACTAACAGAAACCTCCATTTCTTCGACTGAACATTCATCCACCCCCTCATTTTCCTTTGAATCTGTTCATTCATCCGTGAAAAGTTTCTATAAGTCTGTGAGCAACATTTCATTTCCTTTGATAGTTTTGACTTGCTTTTATCTTTTTTTTTTTTTTTTTAATTTTGGACAGAAACTCCTGTACCTCGCCCTGTGTGGAAGTCTCCTGCTTTTACTCATCATTTTAATTGGAGTCTTTGAGTAATGGACTTGTTCATGCACAAAGCTCACAGCTAGCAGTGATGAACTTTGGCCAGCTTCACAGCAGGGCTGCCAGTTTCCATTCACCACATGTACAAAGAAGATTCCTCCAGCACATAGGAGCAAAGTTATGATGGATGAAAAGCCCTTTGGATGAGGAACATCAAACCTTTTTTATTTTTTCCCAAGCTGTTTAGGAGCAGCTCTGTATACACACCCAGAATGTTAAGACCTCACTGACATTACATCCATTTTATCTGTGTTTCAGCCTTATTTGGATATTTTTGTTTTATTCAAATATATTTAAAGATTTAGTGCAACATTTTTGGAAAATGATCTGCATTCTTTTAAAGATCGCAGTGATAAGATTTAACTCATATCTGTCTTTATAACATGGAGTTGTTTTACCTCTTCAGCTGCTAGTTGTAGCTTTTGGGGCTGAGATGGGGTAGAGGTAAGGCAGCTGACTCAGGACCCAAAAGTCCCAGGTTCAATCCCACATGTCATGGTGTCTCTGAGCAAGACACCTAATCCCTAATTGCTCCCTGGGTGCCTACAAAGCTGCCCACTGATCCACCTGGATGTATCCCAGGTGTGATGGGTTAAATGCAGAGAACTAATTTTGCCGTTGTATGGGAACATACAATGATGACAACACATTATTATTATATTATTATTCATATGTATCTGATTTAAAACCACAAAAGAGAGAAAGAAATCTTAGGCACAAATCTAACCAACCTTTTCTGCAATCATCAAAAAGATTTGACAAATGTAATTGTGTTTATGAACTGCATCTGCAATTTGAGTTTAGATGTTTTACTGTCAGCTCTTGTGTGTTTTTGTATATTAACTTATTTAAGTGGAGGTAAATACAGCTAATTGTGTTCGGAAGTTCTTCGGAAAAAAAAAAATCTGAAAAAAATTATAAAAATTCATTTTAATTTTCTTAGCTAATTGTGTCGCAATCAAAATGTATTTTGTTGTTGCAGATTGAACCAGTCAGTGACTCAGTTAGCGACCATAAAGAGCCTTTCTTACATTCCACTTAAAGAAATTAACTTATTGAGCTGTATTTATTGCATTCTTTGTGTGTCATGACTGAAATATTTGTTCGGATTGAAGTGGTGCAGTGTAACAGACCACTGTGAAGAATTGTTTTCAGAGCACACATTTTAATTTTGTAACATTTGGTGTTTTATACTGGAGCTAAAAAATGAATAACTTCATTAAAATATAAAGTTGTAAACATCTGCACATAATTCTTTATTGCTCTACTTGTATTGTCATGTTAAAAAAATTAACTTCTTGATTGCCTCTGAATTTCTGGGTCATGATCAGGGATATTTTCACTGTTCTCACAAGAGTCGAGACATTTTGAATGTTGGGTTTTTGTGAACAAAAACAAAGAAAAGCCGAGGGTTTTTGTTTACTTTGTCTCTAATAAGCACTTTGCACAAAGAGCTTGATTCTCATGTAATTAACCAAACAAGATTAGTGTGGAAAGTGTAAGTGGCTCTCTGGAGGGTGAGTGTCTTTGCTGACTAACTTTGCTGAACTTTAAAATGATACATTTGTAGAAATTTATTTCCCATTTTATCACTGGTCAGCTGTGGACCTGATGAGTCTAAACTAGGCCATTAACAACTACAAAAACATAATCAGAGATGTCTGTGAGCTCTAATGAACCTTTTCTCCTGACCAACATATAAGGCATAACATTATGACCACTGACTGGTAAACATAACTTTGTTATAAATTGGTCAGCGTCCTGGTACCAGGACTGATTGCTCAGGAAGAAATTTTCACAAAAGGATTTTCTGTTTTTCAAACTCTTTGGGGACTACGGGTAGTCTGATCAGTCGGCTGAAGATTCAACCATCAGGGTCCAAAAGATTTATTAGTTTGGTGGTCATAATAGTATGGCCCAAAGATGTATATATAAAACTTAAAGTTGTCCATCCATACCCATTTCTTCCTCTCCAGGTTGTGGGGTCACTGGTGTCCAAATCCAGCAGTCAGTGTGCGAGAGGTGGTGGCACCCTGGATAGGTCTCCAGTCCATCACAGGGACACATAGAGACAAACGAGACAAAACCATTCACTCTCTCACTCACAAATAGGTACAATTTAGAGTTACCAATCAGTCTAACATGCATGTTTTTGGTCTGTGGGAGGAAACCGGAAAACCCAGAGAAAACCCATGCATGCACAGAAAGAACATGCAAATTCAACCCAGAACGATCCCTGGCCAAAATTTAATCCGGCGACATTCTCGCTGAGAGGTGATAGCGCTACCAAATGTGTCACCATGCCACCCCTAAAGTTGTCATTAGATTTATTTATTTATTTACCGCGTGACAATGTTTAAGAAATGACTTGTCTATTTAGAATGTATTTCTTTATGCGTGACACACTCTCTCCAGGATTTAGTACATAGGTGTACTTTTCTGTTAGAATCATAATCATGATTATAATGTTGAAACAAAGAGACAATAACAGCTTTTTAATTTAAACATTTATATCTAAAAAAAAGGGGGTGGGTGGATGGAAGGATGAATGGATGGATGGATGAATAGATGTATACATGTATGAATGGATGGATGGAAGGATGAATTACAGATAGATGTATGTATGTATGTACTTTGTATGCATGTATGTATGTATGTAAGCATGCATGCATGCATGCATGTATGTATGTAAGCATGCATGCATGCATGCATGTATGTAAGCATGCATGCATGCATGCATGTATGTACGCATGCATGCATGCATGCATGTATGTACGCATGCATGTATGCATGTATGCATGTATGTATGTATGTATGTATGTATGTATGTATGTATGTATGTATG